ACGGTCGAACGACCTTTCCGAAAACCAAACTGTTCCTCGATGTTGTAAGATGTTAGGAGCCGGTGGTAGACTGCTCTTTCGAACAGTTTTGATAACCCTGAGAGAAGGTTGATTGGTAGTTATCGACCGAATATTGAAGGTGAGGACGGATCCTTCCCAGGTTTCCGGATGGGTATGACTTTAGCTGACTTCCAACACGAGGGGAAGTAGCCAAGTCTGAGGCACTGATTAAAAATCAGTGCCAGATGGTTGTAGAATCTGGAACTCAAGTGTTTGAGTTCCAGATTCAGGATGTTGTCGAAACCTGGGGCCTTCATGTTTTGAGATGATTTGATATAGGCGAACAGTTCGTCAGCCGTAATCTCGGATTCCTCTGGAAAAATGTTAGGAATCTGAAGAAGATTGGTTGCATTTTCAGAAACCTCAGATTCATGAGGGCTGACGATGTTTTGTCCTAGATTATGGGAGCTGACGAAGTGTTGACCTATCGCGGCAGCCTTCTCTTCAGGAGTTATCAGATGAACCACTGGGTCGCCGGGACCATCCAGTGGGATCAGTGGCGGAATGGGCATGGGCTTGTTTTTGAGAATTTTCGTTAGTTTCCAGAAGGGCTTTGCACAATCTGGGAGAGAGCGGATTTTGTTAGCATCTGAGGTCCACCATCCTGGCTTGGATGGTTTTTGTAAGACGATTGCAATGGGTCTTCAAGACACGCAAACCAGATTCTGTATTGCCTTCGGATGGAGTTACGGAGTCTGATGAGATCTTTGGTAATTCTATCAAGGTTCAGAGTATTGCTCACCTGTCTGGATACTGGCACGTGTTGGTCCATGGCCCGGGATATCGCCTCCTCGATGGAACGCAGACACCGGTCAACGTCTTCGGGCGTCTCCGGAAAGACACCGTAGTCGACAGTGGAGTCGACACAGTGTTGGAACTGCTCCCAGCTGACACGATGGTAGTTGCGTCGGGAAGCTTGGAATCGGTTGACAGATGAGCCTACTTCGGCCACCACCGGATAGTGGTCCGAACTCAGCTCCTGATGAGTCTCAGGTAGCGAGATGTTGTCTCCCATGTTGCTGATGAGGATGTCAATGGTGAAGTGAACGACAGACCGGCTCAACCGGGTGGGAGAGTCCGGCGCTAATATGGTGTAGCGAGCCTTCTGCAGGTCGTCGTTGAGGATGGTGCCGTTTTGGTTGCGTCGACTATTGCCCCAAGCCTGATGTTTGGCGTTCAGGTCGCCAGCAATGATGTACTTTTCGCGCCGTCGAGTTAGTTTGATGATGTCCTTCCGCAGGTCTGCTGCCAACCCGTCCCTGATGGTGATTTGCTTGGGCAGTACGACGCAATGATGGTGATAAGGCCGACAGGAGTGGAGACTTCTACCCCTAAAGCTTCGATGGTTTTCAGCTGGAAGCTCGGCAGAAGCCGACAGCAGATGTTTCTCCTTACAGCAATAGCAACTCCTCCTCCCCCGGAGCTGGTTCGATCTAGTATTAGAAGCCGGAAGTCAGGAAGGTTGACGTTTACCTCCGGTTTCAGGTGGGTTTCGGTGATAACGGCAATGTCGATGTTTTGTTTGTTGAGGAAGTCAACGAACTCGATGATCTTGCTCTTGAGCGAGCAAGCGTTCCAGTTGGCGATCTTGATGGTTTCACGGTCCATAATTGTCGATGAAACGTGATGCAGCAAGAATCTGCTCGGTTCTGGTTCTGCAGGAGCGCTTGATGATGATTGCTTCTGCCATGATGGTAATGAGCAGCTCTTCGTTTTAATGCGATGGTGGGGCATCATCTCGATGCCACGATAGACCCGGGGGAGGGGACGAAACCGTTGCCGCATAGGACTCACGGCTCAGATTAGCCGGATGGTTTGGTACCTGGCGGGACCGATGCAGCAGCAGCAGTCAAATGGTTGTTGAGCGGTAGTGGCGGAAGAATCGGAATCGGACGCCGTTGGCTAATGGCGGGGAAATTCTGCTCATTGCGTGCCGGTACCTTTTTCCGACCCTGCTGGTTCTGCGTGGAGGCCCTTTTGCGGATTTCCATGAATTCCGCACGCTTCGGACATGACTTGCTGGTAGCTCGATGTGCTGCACCACAGTTGGCGCATTGTGGATCGGCATTCTTCGGGTTCGTGTTGTTTGTCACATTCGTTGCAGCGATGAGCCATGTGGCAATTTTTGGTCCCATGCCCAAACATGAGGCAGTTTGAGCATTGGGTGACTTTACGGGGCGAGGTTGGTAGCGTTCCCACTTAACCACGATGTGGAAAAGCGCCCGAATACACTGCAGGTCCTTCAAACACGTTGTGTTTCGCTCGAGGTGGACCAAATACAGCTGGTCACGGTACTTGCGGGAGGCGTCATGCCGATTCATCCTGAAGACTTGCGATGGCCTTAGGCCGTTCTTCTTCAGCTCATCCGACAGCGCGGCGATTTCCATATCGGGCAGACCACGCACGACCACCTTGAGCGGCTTGTCCTCCTCGATGTCGTGAGAGAAATACTCCCATTTTTTCTGCTTCAGCAGCACTTCAACCAAATCGTTAGTTTCGTATTGATTGTTGCTTCAACGGCCTTGTAGTCCTTCCTTGCTGGTACCATTAGCATGAGGCCTCAGAGCACAGGCGCATGGTGCACTTCAAGAAGCCTTTCTCGATGTAGTACTCGATGTTTTCCCGAAGTCCAGGCGGGAATCACTTGACAAAAAAGGGTGGTAGTTTCTCCTTCTTCATTATTTCCGGTTCATCACCATTTTCCAGAATGGCGTACCGGTTGTTGGACAGCAGCTTTTTTGAGGCCGACTGAGCGTTGGCGATTTCCTGACGGGAACGCTTCCCGGACGAGCTTGCAACCGCATCACCACGCGGTGGTTTTCCCATACTGGGATCGAACGATGTTTCACTTATCACCGCGAAAGGGAGACGCGAACGGACTGTCACAGAACTAATACTCAAGAGAGAGAGCGGACGAAACCGGACTGGACTGCTTGACGATCAAGCAGTGAATATCGGAGTCCCACGGTGGGACCAACAACATAATGCTGGATGAAGGCAAAGGGAGGACAGTGATATTTAGAATATAGGGAAACAAATCCAACGAATAAGTTTTCGGTATTGTTATATTTTAATTTGCCTCCAAATCATGCATTGTACATAGTTATACAAAGACTAAATCGCTCATGATTTTCTTCCTGCCGAAAAGAACTGTGGATTGCCACGTAAAGAGAATACGAAGGAACTGTTTGAAATCATTATTGAACGATAATAGGGTTAATGGCCCTAATGTCAGTCTAAGTGTCCCTAATATTGACCCATACAAAAATTTCGAAGGAAAGCATTTTTGCCTACAAAATTGTCTGAAGGATAAATGCTGTTAAGCTGAAACGTCACCCAATTAGCGAACTCCCAACCAAGAAAGCACCCTTTCAAGTGAATGATGAAATATTGATAAAAACCAAATCAGTATACGTCTTTCAACGCCATTCAAATAAATGTATATCCTAGACATAAATGCGCATTTTATTCACGATTTCATCCGAAAATGCTTTACGATAAGGAAAATGCTTCTAACTGAACAAATTAATGTGAATTCTCAATGTGTACCTCTTAACCACCCCCCACAGTTCTGCCCCGGCAGCGCACATCGATCCAGATCCAAAGCGCTCCTTAATCTCACGTTGTTGTGTAGGTTGTATCTTGTGTGTATTTGTAATACAATATAATCTCATATCATATAAACAGTATCTTCTAGGCAAATATTTACGGCAGCTTCCCACTGCCCATACTCGAAAATTGTTCTCCTCTTCGGTTTACCGACTACTATTGGAAGATGTGATGAATTGATAACACTATTCCGATTCGATTGCCGGTCGACGATCAACGGTGGATTCCGTCCTGAGTGGTATTTCACGCGCGGGGCGAGATTTTGCGAAGGTACGAGAGGGAGAAAAGTACTAGTTGTCTCTCTTATGCCAACGCAAATTTTGGTCCGCTCCGCTAATGCTCGCTCAGATCTGAACGCACCATAATGCCGATAGCCGACAAGTGCGTTCGGACTTCGAATCGGTTTGTTATATAACATTTTGTTTTGTAATGATTCATAAGATTCATTTCTCGAGATATTTTCTTTTGTGTTTTTGTTTTGTGATTTTGACACTGATCTTTGCGGGACTAAGATGCGAAAAAAGATAACGAAACACAACTATCGAAAATATGTGTGCTCTTGGAGCGCTTTAAAAAATCCTCATACACAATCTTACTTTGTTTTTTTTTTTACCAGGATGTAACAGTATATCGGTCATTTTCAGTACTTGATAGTAATACCTTTTATGTTTGCTTTGTATTGGTAAATATATCTATTTGAACTATAAAATAGCGTCTATTCAGGACATCGGTTCAACAATCTGACTAAAACAATCATTAAAATTACAGCTTTCACATGGGATAAAACAATGCATTCATGGTTACATAACAGGTTACAAATGGACACTCTAAAAGATGTATAAATATAGGAATAGCTAAAATATGTTACAGACACAACGGTATCCACGAGTAGTAGGTTGTATTTCTTTTACACGCACACAGGATGATCTATAGAGTGGGTTAAGTGGGTTATGCTGCTCAGACTGTAGTTTTCATTCCTTTGTCCTCATCTTCCGTGGGTGAAGTAGTGAGAGTTAAAACAATAGAAACAGTTTCGATTTTTTGTTTTGTTTTGTGTGTATACAAGAAGGTAACAGTGACATGCATGTGTGACAGTACATTGACATCTTTTGCTCATTGTGACTTTACTCCATTTATTGGTGGATTATTGAATAACGGTCCATAACGTGCCGGACTGGCGAATATGTGCATTTTTGGTTGCATTTTTATTTTAAACATACGGTATGTCCTCTAAAACTTCCAGTAACTTTCAACGTACAATTTTGGATTCCAGTCCAACAAAACTGATCCACAGTTTTTTCTCCACTTCTGTTTATGATTGCCAATTAGGATTTTGTTTTATTACAACAGCCTAAATCAACCACACAATGCTTGCTTACTTATTTTCGATTATTGTTTGCAACTGGAGGACCAGATTCCTAGCTAGCTTTAATACTGCAGGTGTGTTGTGACGTTCAGCCATTTCTGAAATAGAAACATCAATCAAGAAAACCATAATAATCTCGACCGATGCACTTAATTACCGTTGAAAAATTTGATGATGTCAGTGAAGTCCATGCTGTTCGATAGGATGATATCCCGATAGGTTTCGAGCAGCGCCAGTGCCAAAAACAGTACAAAATGCGCCGAAGCCACGTGCTTGGCTGCCCAGATGATCTCCCACACTGAGAAAATGTCGGCATAGATCAGCTCACGCTTGAAGTCCAGTAGAAACCATCGGTAGCAGAAGTAGAAGTGGGTGTAATCTCCGTGAGCGTGCATCAGGTCATACATTTCCGAGTCCAGAATTTGTATGAGGGATCTGTAATGATTGATTTCACTCTAAAACACTGGAAACTGGATGAATGACTGCCTTGTTTACCTCATATTGGCAAAATGCATGTCCATAGCTCCACCGTTGGGAAAGTTTTCGATCATACGCTCCATGAATCGACAGAAGCAACCGTAGCTCAGGGACTCGTCGTCGAAGATAACCAGCAACGGAGCAACCAGGTCGCACATTCCCTGCATATAACCGACGTCCAGGTGCTCCCACACGTAACTGCAGGAAGAAAATACATATGATTCAAAATTTTATTGGATGAATTCAAAAGAGACCTTTGATTTTGCTCGGGGTCTAATTATCTCTCAGACCAGGGTGGACTCTCTCGCAAAGGTGGGCGCGCAGGAAGTCGAATTGTATGACAGGTAAATTTCACAAGATGAATTTTACCATTTAGTGCGTCAGAGTACTATTTCGAGTAGGCAAACCGATTGGGACAATGGCAATCCAAGGTGGTTACATTCAATTATTCCTAATGTTTCTTCGAGAGGGTGGTTTAAAGGCTTGGCGTGATGATTAGCCTTATGTCCAACCTGGACAGCAACATATGTCCATGTGGAAACGGTTACGATAACATCGATCACGCAATATGGCAATGCACGGATAATGGCGCCAACAGAGAGCGAGGCCCAAGGAAGACAACCATATATCCCTATCAGAGCCGTGTTGGGAACCCGCGATGTGTTTCTGCAAATGTCTAGTATAACAATTTAATTCCTTTGTCTTTTGTGTCTCTTTATTAGTTTTTTTTTGTCTTGCTCCCCGTCTTGATAAATCTCATCGTCGCCCACTGGTCACCATAGCCGGTTTAACTCCAGACAAATCTAGAACCGCACTACCGTTCATACTCGCGACTGGGACTTCAACTATCCGGATACTTCAGGTTTTTTTTTAATAAAATGACTTTCAGACATATAGAATATCGTTGAATTGATATTCAGTATACAGAATATAATGCTTTCTAGTGTCCAATATTGAAATAAAATAGATTGAGAAAACGTTGAGATGGTTATCAAGCGGATAGTAACTATCTGAATATCCGGGTATTGAAATTTCAAATTTATTCTCCCTTAACATTTTTTTTTTTTTTACTGTTCCAAATATTTGTCAAAAAGTTGGTTTTTAGGTGCCCTTGTGATCTGATGTGGAATGGCAGATCTGTTAATTGCCTAAATTTAATAAAATTGAAAAATAAAAATATCCGGATAATCCGAGTCCCAGCACTACTCGCGACAACGCTCTTATGAGACAACGAAAGCCCACCCCACACTCCGCAACTGATCCTATCCTTTGACAATGCACCCCTCTAACCTCGGGTAAGCCACGAGTATTCGGACAAACCCCTACTAGACATAGAAATAAATTAATTTGGTTAAAACAATGAACAATTAATCATCGGCTCCGAAAAGCTTACACGATTGAGCCTTGCAAATAAATGAACTAGATAAAAAAAAATATCAATAGAGATAGAATATTATTTTTGATTAAAAAAAACTAGATGAATTTGAGAAGCACACGAAAAATAAAGGTGATTGAATTTCTATTTGATTCCAATACTCTCAAATATGATCTAGAAAGAATAAGAAATCCTCGGATAAAATCTAATGCAAATGTTTGATTGGCTCAGATTTTGACATTTGGTTTAAAACATCATCTGCGCTCACCTCTGAGGATTTCTACTCTTTACAATACTAATCATTACGATCATCGGGTTGTGGTTGCCGTTCATACGTTTCAAACGTATGTTTTCTAGTTTTGACTATTTCATGAATTTCTATAGACTATATTTTCTCGTTTACACACAATTTACCTCTATTTTTCGAACAGATTTTAACTTAAATTGGGTAATTTCGTACTATAGATGACTAATGATTTTTTTTTACTTTCTTGATAAAAAATCACAAATCGTTGAGATAGGATTTTTGATCTAATTTCCGTCCTACTAAGAACAACCCGCGCTTTACCTCTTCTTTTTGAACGGGTTTGAACAAAAAGGGAATAAAAATGACTTTTAAAATTATTCACCTTTCCATTCGTAAAGAGTTACAAATTGTTGAGATATTGTATAAAGGGTGTCCACGATGAAATTGCCACACACAAAATTGATTCGCAAAATTCGAGTTTTCATCCGATTGCCATCAAATTTTCAGGGATTGAGAAATAACTATTAAACTTCATTTTACCATTTTACTCGTATTTTATTTACAGTCCATACGCAAATGCCCGCACCTTGGCCTTAACCCCGGCCATAAGATTCTGCACAACCTGTGAATCAACCGTTTTTTGCATGTAAACCCATACTTTCTTCAGTTCCTCGACTGTCTTCACTACCTTAGGTTGTTTAAGAAGGTGCTGCTTCATAATCGCCCAGTACTTCTCGATGGGGCGGAGCTCCGGAGTGTTGGGAGGGTTGAACATTTTCGGCACGAAATTGACCTTATTGTCCGCATACCACTTCAGCACGTCCTTGGAGTAGTGGCATGAGGCCAAATCCGGCCAGAAGATTGTTGGGACGTTGTGGGCCTTCAGGAGAGGAAGCAGCCGCTTCTGGAGGCACTCTTTTATGTACACCTGTCCGTTCATCGTGTCCTGGGTCACGAAAGGTGCACTCCGCTTCCCGCACGTGCAGATGGCTTGCAAAACCAGGAATTTCTTCGCAAATTTGGACATCTTCTGAGTGCGGACATGCTCCGGAACGCTGAACTTATCCTTGGCCGTGAAAAACAGGTTGCCGGGGATCTGTTTGAAGTCGGCCTTCACATATGTTTCGTCGTCCATGATGCAGCATTCAACTTTCGTCAGCATGTTGAGGTACAACTTCCTGGCACGGGTTTTGGCGGACTTGTTCTGCTTCTCGTCGCGATTAGGGGCCTTTTGTACCTTGAACGTTCGAAGCCCAGCCTTAATTTTGGCCTTCTGGACAAAACTTCGGCTTAGGTGCAGCTTCTTAGCCACATCCCTAACGGAGGCGTTCGGATTTCGGTTGAAGGCCCCAACTACGCGGTTGTGATTTTTGGTGTTGTACGTAATACTTTTTCCTTCACTTCTGGGCTTCCGATCGGTGGTCAACCGTTCCTCGAACCGCTTAATCACTTGCGACACCGTGGAATTCGCGATTCCCAACGTTTTAGCGATGGAACGATGCGAGAGATCCTTGTTCTCGTGATGAATGCGCAAGATTTTATCACGCACGAGCTGTTCTTTCGACTCCATTTCCGCGAGTTTTGATCACAGGACTTTAAAACTTGCAGGATGTAAATAATGCACTATGAACTAAATCCACCCAAATTTTCATAAAATTCGACCCAACGGTTAAAAAGTTAGAGCAATTTCATAGTGTGGCAATTTCATCGTGGACACCCTTTAAAATCTAATAATGCTTCTCGATTCTAAATTCGTTCTACGAGTTTCAATTTCGTCCTAACGCATTGAATCGCCATTAGATTTTCCTCGTCCTACGGATAAACGTAGAAAAAGGGGATTCACTGAGAGCGCTTCTTTTGTTTTGAGAACAATGAGCGTAAATTTTCATACAATGCGCTTTAATATGATTTATGTTGTAGCTAATGAATTAGTACATCTATTATTGTTTTGTGCATGGTGAAATCATTAATATTATTGATTTTTTTCTGATCGATAGAACGGAAATGGGCGATTACGACGAAGTAGTACTCTACCCTATTGTTAAAAATCCAAAACTGCTTCTTGATCCCAAATTCGTCCGACGAGTTTCAATTCCGTCCTGACGCATTGAAATGCCATTGGATTTTTTTCGTCCAACGGATAAGGACGAAAATGAAATTGAAAAATGGATTTGCTTGGAGTGCTTCTTTCGTTTTTGAGCAAAGAGGTACAAACAAACATTCATACTTTCCGCTCTTTAAGATTTACTGATGTAGCTAATGAACTTTTTGAACTTTTTGTGCATGGTGAAATCATTAATATTATTGATTTTTTTCTGATCGATAGAACGGAAATGGGCGATTACGACGAAGTAGTACATGTAGCTTTTGAACTAAAGTATCGTACCAAGCACATAATTGAATAGTTTACGCCGAGATCATAGATATATGGGATGTTTTTTGCTCGATACACCCAAAATGGGCGATTAGGTCGAAGTAGTTCTCTACCCTACCTGAACGTGTTTGCATAAGAAATGTGATGTAGTTTTGAATTTGAATCTTTTAGTCAAGAATGTTGAAGGAAGTATCCCAGGATTTCTCCAGAGGTCTATTAAACAATCTCTAGATTTTCTACAAAAAATTGTGCAATTATCTAAATTTTCTCCCTTGGACATTTTATCTAAATACATTAGCAAATATCCTTACAATATCGTCCTAGAATTTCCCCAAAGATCGTTCCGGAGAGGATTTCTTGACATTTTCTCTATAACTGTTTAGAATTTCTTTGTAGAACTCTCGAATAAATTTATCTAGAAAAAAAAATGGAATTCACTCTATAACTCTGTCTTTAATTCGTAATACAGATTTGATTTTTTGAATTTAGTGAACAAGAATCCTCGGCTCTGTAAAGTAAATTCAATTGAGCCTTATCAAATAAATTATTGAACATATAAGTATATTCAGAAACGTTGTATAAAATATTATCAGAATCAACTTTACAGAGAATGCTATCTATCTATTTGCAAAGGCATAGTCAGCTTTCTACACAGAAGACAGCAAATGTTTTGACCGACGAATTCTCTTATAATTCTTTGTATTGATCCTACAATTCTGTTTGAACTCAATAATTCTGTACAAAATTCCTTGTGGAAATCTGCAAGTCACTAATAGTTGGCAGGTTCTGGAGGCATTCACGTTCAGAATGGTCCTGAAATCTTAGTCAGAATTGTCTTGGGAATTTCCTAACATTTCCCTAGAAGTTCTGGCCAACAACCTTTGACATTTAACTCTATAACTTTTTAGAACTTCTTTGTACAACTCTCGAATAAACTTATCTAGAAAAAAAAAATGAATTCACTCTATAACTCTGTTTTTAATTCGTAATACAGATTTGACTTTTTTAGCTCTCGAGGAATATTCCTTAGATCCCCATGATAAATGTTTTAAATTTACCATGGATTTATTCATAGCATTTTCTTGAAATTAACCTTGGAATAATATTCAATGAAGTCTGCAAATATATTGGATTTTACCCCTTCTACAATCATTAAGGAGTTTCAGAGTCCCAGTTGTGGCCGCCGGGATTTTCTAAGGCAT